ATCACCTTTTCATCTATTTCAGTGCTGATTTTCCACCCTGTTCTTTCACGAACATCAATCTTGTGCCCCGCCTGCAGAGGAACTGCACAACATGGCAGGGAATCTTGTGTATCTGCTGCCAAAGTACATCATGGCCATGACTGGGACATGCCAGAGGGGCCTTCCCACCTGTCCAGCCCCAGTACACATCAGTCAGCTCCCTGTTACATGCTGCATTAGCACACAGCCTGGCTTCTCCTTCACCTCTGCCATCAAAGCCACTAGAGAGGGAGCATGAATTCAACAGCTCTCCTCTTCTGCCCCATGTTCTCTGCGTCTTGACACAGGGGGTACCCATTCTCTACTCTGAAATATGTAATGTTTAATAGCTTTTCAAAAATCCAACCAACCAAAACAAACTCACAAAAACACTCAACGTGTCCAAATTCAGAACATCTGAACTCCAAGAGCAGCAGCATGAACTTGTAATGCAAAACCATACTGCAGCATATTTGCAAAACTTGCTCTGAACTAGGTTTTCTTCTTTTTTATTTTTTTTTTCTTCTAAAAATATAGGAACAGACTCTTCCAGTTTAACTGTTTTAAGTACTGAGGGATGTGTGCACATGTCCAAGTGGTGAAAGGGAAGTGTAGATGCAAATTTTGAGGTAAAATATGACCAAATATTTCATACCTTGTTCTGGCCACAATTTTTGACAATAACAGTACTACTTCTACGTGACAAGATTAAAAAAAGGACTAACTTTAGGAGATTACAGTTTAGAAAAAAGACAAGTGGATATTTTGGAGGTTTTCTGTAGAGTGGCAAATGTGGTAAGATTGCCTTCACCTTGTGGTCTGGTATTAACTGTACAACACAGAATTCTCTTCACATATGAACAAGCAATGCTGAAAATCACTGGAAAAATCTAGCCTGGCAGAATTCTCAGCTCATCTGTTTGCAACTTGCTATAAAAAAAGCCAAACCAAACCAGAAAAAAAAATAGCCACAGTACTTCCTCCATGTTATCATCACTATCTTTCACAACCTAGACATCACAGGCAATATGCAACAAACTTTCGCATTACTATTTTTACCAGATGAGAACTTCCACTTCTATATCCAAAACCCAAAGGATTCAAACTGGCACAACTTGGCTACCACTATAAAATGCAAAGATGTACTTCTAGCACTGTATCACACCTTTACTTCCTCAAATAATGTTTAGATTATTTATTATCTTCATATAATTTACATACACAGGAAAAGGAGGTTTAAAGTTAAAGCAACTCAGGTCTGTCCACCTCAGCTGAAAACAAATTTTTCTCAAGAAGACTCATAGAAAAGTTTCAATAATCCATTTAATTATCTGCTTTCTTAATATGCTGACAGTCTCATATAGAATGAAAGATACCACATCTTTTCCTCTCATTTGTTTTTCTGGGTTAAGAACTGCGTGGATAGATGAGCCCAGAGAGTGATGGCCAATGGTGCTGCATCCAGCTGATGTCCAGTCATGAGTGGTGTCCCTCAGGGATCAGTGTTGGGCCCATCCCTGTTTAATATCTTTACTGATGATCTTGGTGAGGGATTGAGTCTACCACTAGCAAATTTCCAAAGTTAGGTCAGGGTGTCAATCTGCTGGAGGGCAGGAAGGCCCCGCAGAGGGACCTGGCCAGGCTGGATTGATGGGCCAGACCAGGGGCATGAGGTCCAACATGACCAACTGCTGTGTCCTACAAATTGGCCACAACAGCCCCATGCAGGGCTACAGGCTGGGGGCAGGGTGGCTGCAAAGTGGCTCAGTGGGAAAGGGCTTGGGGGTGCTGGTAGACAGTGGCTGAGGGAGTGGGGGTGTTTGGCCTGGAGGAGGCTCAGAGGGACCCTCCAGCCTGCAGCTTGCTGGAAGGAAGGTGTAGCCAGGTAAAGGTTGGCCTCTTCCCCCAGAGGTCACAGTCTTAACCTGTGCATGGGAGGTTTAAACTGGACATAAGGAAGAATTTCTTCACAGAAAAGGTGATTAGATATTGGAAAGGACTGCCCAGGGAGCTGTTTAAGGAAAGACGGGACTTGACACTTAGTGCCATGGTCTAATTAACACGGTGGTGTTTGGTCATAGGTTGGATTCAATGATCTCAGGGATCTTTTCCAAGCTAATTGATTCTGTGATTTCAAGTAATCAAAAGGAAGTATTCAACTTTCACTTTAATTGACTTCGTATATGTGATATCAGTTAAAAATGGATTTTATTATTAATATGCAGAGGATTAATTACTTGTATGTGTCACAATACCTTGTAATATTTTAATGTTATCTTTAAGATACTTCATAACAGGAAAAATGCCCTTTTCAGTGCTGAAAAATGAATCAGCATATTGAATAACATATGCTACCAGAAATTATAGCTATACCAACAAAATAAAAGAATATGAGAAGTATGTTTAGCCCACTATGAAAATGTCTGTCATTTGCTCTGTTTTCTAGGCACAAGCAGGAAGTCATCCAATGGGAAAGAAGCAGAAACAGAAAAAAACTGGTATTTTTCATTTATATTGAACACCAGCTAACAACAAGTTATGATATGTGGAAAGAAGAAATAATGAAGAACTGGATTAAAAAACTGGATTAAAGTAGTATGATAGGATATCCCAGGTTGGAAGGGACTCACAAGGATCACTGAGTCCAGCTGCTGCAGGTAGTGGTTACACATTCTTAACTAAAAATAATTAATTCTTTTAAAGACGCAATTGCTTAGCAAGCTAAGTAATTGAATGCTATTTCTTTTTTGTAACAAGTTTTTTAGTGATACAGGTTTTGGCTTTTGCTTAAGTTACTTTAGTATTTTACTTTAAATGGTTGCATGATATTTCAGTCACCTACACATACAACCGATAAGGAAGCATTCACTAATACAATAAATAAAAGAAAAAAATTCTTTCATTTGCAGCTTGTTAACTTAAAGTCACTGCTTAAGCACACTTTTTCTATCATCTTCTATCTTCCCTGGGAATAAGCCTGTATCTTCAAATATTATACAACACTTTACCTGCATCACCACCATGAATTTTTAAACCAACTTTCTACCTGCTTTCCAACTCTTCATCTAGTCTACCTCCCACTCATATGCTCCCTTCTCAGCAGGGTCTCCAGCCAAGGCTAATGAGCTTATCTCATTTCCACTGAGCTGGTGAATGCTGGCAGCAGCTGACAGTGAATGCTGGACAGAAAATGTGAATCCGTAGTTCACACAGAATACCTGAATCATTAGAGAACTTTAAAACTAGTGACAGCACAGTAGTTTTATTCATTATTTTTCATGCTGTCATTATTAAGTGGTAGATATTTTTAGCCACCAAAAGCCAAATCCATCTGCAGCAGCAGCGTTTCCAAGGAGACAGAATAATTTAAACACATGTGGAACTACATCTCTGTTTTCATCAACTACTCTGTTATGGAGCACTTCTGAGTCAGATTTCTCATTTGATGAGGGGAAAGTGATTTGAATACATGGATTTGAGCCTGTAATTTAACAGTTGAGCTTATGCTTTCAGATACATATCCATTACCTACAAATAACGAATGTTAGGATACAACTCCACTATTTTCCAGTCAGTGTTATTTACCAGTGTTTACATTCCAATACAACAACAACAAAAAAACCCAAACAAAAGATACAGTCTTTCAGAATAATTTTTTTAATCACTGACATTTGCTGCAAATTACTGATTTTTTAAGCAAACATACCAGGCTCCATTTTCTGAAGAAATAGCTAGGAGGAAAGGACACCACTCCCAATGGTAAGGTACATAAGTAAGTAGACAGTGGACAAAGCTTCTTCCAGTCCTTTTTATCACTCATAAGAGTCCTATTAGCTAGTTCCAGTTTTATTTTATGGCACAAATTTTTAGTAATTTTTGGTCTGCTTTAAGGGAATTCTCTCGGTGAATACAACAAAAATGGATTCATCCATTTACTGATTTTATTCTCTGAAATCTATTAAAACTAAATTCCACCATTTTAGCTTTATAAATATATATACACTCAAATCAGTTATAATCACAATTTATTTACATCAATTAATATTTTTACTTCAAACCAGCAAAACAGGGTCCTGTATAACAATTATTTCCTACATGTAAAATGTAGAGGTAAGTCAACAGAGAGCTGACTCATTGAAATCCTTGCCCCAGTGAGGCAATATCAAAATATCCTATTGTTTCAGTGGGGCCAGGACTTCTGCCTTTAGTCCTATATTCTAATATAATGTGACTAGATAAACCAATCTGCTTTCTGTACCAAGCAATTTATTTGCTGCTTACCATCTCCAGACTGCGTGAACTAACAGCTGCTGCTAACACAAACTCTGCAGAAGCAAGCTATTTTAACAATTATTTAAAACTCATCTGTAAATGCTGTAGGTACTACAAAATTTATCTTTCTCAGACATAATTATATGCATATTTTTTTCCTTTATAACAAAGATAATTTTATACCTGAGTTTTCAACCACATTCATTCCAAACCTAAAAATAATGCAAAAAAATCTACACAATCCCTTTCAGTAGTACTGAGGAGCCATTCTTACTGTTTGTTCACCACTAAATAAGACAGTTTCAGAAGCAGTTCATTTTCCTATCCAAACTCAAAGAAAGCATTTTTAGATCTTCCAGCACTCTCTTCCTGTTGGTAGCATACACTGTATTTTACACAGTGAGTATTTCCATCACACAAAATGACCTCTCTTCCTACAGCTTACCGAGCAACTTCGGCATCAATGAGATGCAATGCGTATCCTGTCACATGAGAAAGCTGCCAGCATCAGGCATGCCTATGATTTCACTATTTATGGATCTCACATCCGTTGAAACCTCCAAGACAGGAGAAAATAATAATGGGAAAAGCTGTTTCAGACTTATTTGTGAGGAACAAGCAAGATGCTTGCACATGCATTTTTATATCCAAGAAATGTTGTGGCAAAGATCAAGAATAGCTATTCGTAACAGGAATTTTTTCACCCTTACCTGTAAATCCGGTTTCTGTGTTTCAGCTCTGTCAGTGCAGAATGAAAGGTTTACTCCCCCTTTTTCCATCCATCAGACAGCAGCCATCCAATAACTGAAGTCATCCTGGCATCCTCTGGAACATGCTCTCTCCCTTATTTCCCACTCCCCACCCCCATCTGCATGCTAGCAAAATGGGAAAACAGCAAGAAGAAAACAACAAAAAAGCACATCTAAAACCAGCTTTAATAAGCTGCTTAGTAGTCAGTGAGGACACTCAGTACTAAAAGCTAATGACAAAATGTAAAGACAAGAAAAAAAAGTCTATTAATAAGCCTTCAGCTCTACTACTGAATAGGAATTCTCCCTTTCAGCTCCTTTTTGTAAGGAAAAAACAAGCAAACAGCTGTAGGAACACAGTTACTGCCTGTATACATTCCTTGAGACTGACTCAGCTATCCAGATCTTCAGTGAAGAGTGCTGCTGTGTATTTAGGAAAGCTTGTGATTATCAAATTAACAGTGGTGCTTTTATACAAACAAGAATCTGAAATCTCAATGCAAATTAGAGTAATTCAGAGATAGATGCCAGGAATTTCCTACAAAATATATTTTCATTCCATTTGAGGCAGTATTTATAAAATACCTCAAAAAGAATAATTAGTAGATACCTCTCTCTTGAATGTTAGCTGTGTAAAACTCTACCTGTATAACTAGTGCACGTGCATTTATTTTACTGTATTTATAAGACAGTAGCCAGCATTCAGTGTGCTGCATGAACTTTACACAAAACTTTCTACTTAAATAAGAATTCAAATGTAGAGAATTACTAGATTAACAATTTTCAATTAATGTGCCCAAAATATACTCCTAGTCCCTTTGCAGCCTCTTAAATCTAGTTTGAAAAATATTTTTCCAAGATCAGAGAATTTTATTTTCTGCCTCTCTATATAAATCAGGTAGGTATCAGCTCAGTTGAAGACAACAGCATCACATCTAGTTTATGACAGTTTAATTACATTTAAAATCAAAATCAAACATGAGTCTTCTTAGCAAAGATATCATTTACTGCCATATCAAAGCATTTGTACTCCAGGATTTCCCTTTTAAAGAAAAACATAAAGCAGCAGAAGCTGACAAATACCTTTGTGTTTACAAATTTTAATCTTCAGCTATAGTTTTCCAATAAAATTAACTGTGAATTCCTTTAAATACGAGCATCTGTTCTCTTCAATGAATTATTGATCTTTAACAACAGCAAGACTATACTAATTAGCATACTTTCACTACAAAGTAATAGCTGATTTAGCTTCTGAAAAAATTAGCTGTCAGTCTTATCACAACAAACTGCCAGCAGATCCTGTGCATAACATTCAGATTCTGTCTTTACAAGTAAAGTAGGTGTCTTTTTAAACAAATTACCTCAGTTTAACATAAAATCTCTTCTTAGATGCCTAGAAAAATGGAAATCTCTTCCTGCAAGTATTAAAAAACTATTATGTTTGATGTCGCTGTCGAGGCAGGATGGGAATGAGAAGTTTCAAATCCAAAAAATCAATACAATTTTCTTTAGTGGGAAAAAAGAGAATACTGAGGGACACCTAAACAGACATTTTGCCCTGATAAGCAATACTGAATAGGGGATACTGAGGAACACCTAAACAGACATTTTGCCCTGATAAGCAATTGGCTAGAAGACTTCATTTTCTTTTTGATCTGCAGGAAGGTGAAGTGTTTGTGCTCAATTCCAAATTCCTTTCAACCAGCCTGAGTGCTTAGAGAAATTAACAGACATACAGAACTGTATTGCCACAACTAGACTTAATATTTTTTAAATACAGATGAAAGGGGCAGCACTGTTCCATCCCCAAAACACCTTTAGAATAGCTAGTCAGAAAAATGGGCAGTATAAACAAGTCAATCAAATGCCGTGCAAAGTCTACTACGAAAACAGAAGAGTATTACCAACAAAAACCCCAATAGCTCTATAACAGTCACAGGATGAAGCAACTCTCAATACAGACGGACAGTGTTTCTAAAGTAAAACACAAAGAGCATTGCTACAAAAACTGATTAGCATTAAGTAGGCTGCTGCTTCCCCCACACTCCACAAGGGCTACACACACAAGCCGCCCTAGCAGTGGGGTCTGTGCAATCTGCAGAACCTGACCTTGCCAGTCTCCTCAGATTTCTGTGTAACATCAGACAGTCCTTGCAGAACTTGCCCCAGTTTGCGCATCAAGAATTGAGTAAAGTCGTTTACACAATAAATGCATTTTAAATATATGAAATTCACTTCTGCAGAGTGCTGAGGACATTCTCCTGTGCAGGTAGGGGCGTTTGGCTGCCTGGGCAAAAACCCAACCTACAGACAGCACAGCTGGTGGCCCTGACAGAGGAAGGCAGCAGGGACCGCTGCCCACCCTCTGCCAGGACCCTTCCAAGCTGAGCCTCTGCCCGGAGCTGCAGGGCTGAGCCGGCACCCGCCTCCCCGGGACCCCAGCCCTGCTCCCAGGGACCCCAGCCCTGCCCCCAGGGACCCCAGGCCTGCCCCCAGGGACCCCAGCCCTGCCCCCAGGGACCCCAGCCCTGCCCCCAGGGACCCCAGCCCCGGCTCCCCCAGCGCAGCCAGGCTCCCAGCCCCGCTGGAGCTGCCCTGCGCTGCTGAGCCGCTCTCCGCTTCCGTCTCACCTGCTCCTTCCAAGCCACTTGCTGCACCGGCTGCTCCCCGGCAGAGCACCTGGACCTGACTGGCCCTTTCCAGAGCCAGCACCTGCTAAATCTCAGCAACGCTTTCCAGCACCAAAGTGCCATTATTGGACCAATTAACCTCATATACACAGAGATGGAGAAATGGAAACAATCCAGGTTTGTACCCAGCTCCTGCTGTGACTCAAGGAATTATTTTTGTACTTGTATTTGTTTGGTTATTTCTCCTTTTTTTAAACTTACCTATACTTGATACTCCATACAACACACATTTATCTTTTTTCTCCAGAGCTATTGCATTGGAAAGAAAGAAAAGTTCCACCAGAAAGCAAATTCCTGCAACAACTTCCTTCGCTTTTCCTTTCCCTGATTAAGCCTATTGCTACCAAAATATTTACTTCTGTTTTCTCTGACTCTACAAAGAATGTAGTTTCTTTTGGTAATTACTGTACTAAATAGCTTGAAAGAATCACCTCCCTCCTAAATAAACCTTCAAGCTGGGGTATTGGATGACATCTTCTTCACCATCTTAGTTTCTCCTGAAATGCAAATCTTTCCAAGTAGGAGAGAAGGTAAGCATTGGCTGAGGGCAAGATGGTCTTGTAGATGTACAAATCTCAAAGAACTCTGATTACTGGTAACTAATATCTCTTAATCTCCACTTCATGCACTGCACAGGCACTCACTGCCCCTGGATCCCAGCAGCTATGCTCAGGTTACATAACTTTATGATAGCTTATCACACAGTCCTTCACTAAAACCAGTTTTAGTGTAGATCTCTCCTGTCAAGCAGCTCTAACAGCCTTAATGAAGGCACGGGTGAAGCTTGACCTTTAGAGAAGGCTCCAGGCGGACTTCTGAGACAGTCACCAGCCTGCTCACCAGACTGCTGACCGCAGGCTCAGACAAGCAGCAGTTACTGGCCAGCTCAGGAGCAGAAGAGCTATCACCTGACCTGTTGTAAGAGGTTTGTTTCTTCCATAGCAAAATTTGTTTCTCCCACAAAAAAATCCTCTTCTGAAAGATTGTTCCTTGGATGTTGAAACAAATTTCTTACACAGCTCTAGAAACCTTATTCACGGTTCTGCTAGCAGGATCCCACGAAGGCATGTCATGTTCCACACGTTAGATCTACTAAATCTTCTGAATGCAGACAGGAATTGTAGCACCTTGATTCTCAGCATTCTACATGTCTGTGTAAAGATACTGGAAGCAGGATGAACCTGGCTTGTAAGGTAGCATCAAGACTGTGAATTTCACAGCCAATGCCAATTCCATGTGGCAACTCAGGATATCTGGAGTTGTTACAAAATTTGCCACCATGGTCCCTAAGGAGAATAAACACCAAGCGAGGGGCAGAAAAAAGAAAGTGATGAATGGATGAATGAACTATGTATGACTTACTTGTGCGTACTCAGCTTCCTAGAAAAATCCTGCACAGAAAAAAAAAACTGGAACCCACTGACGTTTGATTCTGAAACCCAGGCCAAGGTTTCCCTAATTTGAAGTTGCTGGCATCGCCAGGAAATTATGTATGATCTATGAATGAAAACAAATGGAAAATGGATGTTTCTTTCTCACAAATGGTAGAAAAATGCTACCATCTAGTCCTAAGAAATGCCTGCAGAATTCCAGTATTCTGACGTTTTAAGTAGCTTGAAGCTATCAAACAGGATATGTGTGATACAGTTTCCATAAGTCTTTGGGAAAAAAAAAAAAAAACCCAAACAATTCCATAGTGAAACAGCAAAGTAAAAATGCAGAATCCATACAACAAACTATATTGGCTTCAATGCCCTACTGACTGCATTCAATGAAGCCTGAAAACAGTTCAGGTCGGAAGAGATGGTGGATAATTATGGGCAATGCACAATGAAAACACATCACCTCATATTTTGAAAATCAAAACTGCTTCAGGAAAGAACTGGATTAATTAATAAAAACATTCATACATTTTTACTCTTTAACTGAACCTAGAAGACTCTACCGTGTCTGAAGGAGCTGAACCATGTTTGTTTCAGTTCATAGTGGAAACAAACCAAGTCCTTTCTCGTAAGGCACATCATACTGGTCAGTGGATCTGGCACTTGAATGTATTCCCCCCGTTACAGTAGGAGGAATTAGCTATCAAGGAGCTGTAAAAACTACACTGAGATGCTAGGCTTGCAGATGGAAATGCAGATTGAGCTCTGGGTGGGAGGCCAGAGAGAGACAAGAGGCTGTGAACTGCCAACTTTGGGATGACAAAAGGCACAAAGGTTGATGATGCTGGCCAATCGATGGACACTGAGAGACACAGCAGGAACTTATTAATAAGAAAGGAGATGAAGTTGGGTGACACCAGGAAGGTGCAGGGACACAGGGAGGGTGGCAGGAGCTGAAGACTCCTGGAGGAGAAGCGAGACTTTTCCACACTGGGACTGTGAAGGCACAAAGCCTTTGCTGGGGGTCCCGGCTCAGCGTCACCAGCTCCAGCTGTTTCTGTGTTATGGGCCAGGAATAAACAGCTTT